TCGGAAATCACCTGTATCTGAGCCGCAGGGAGCCAACACCTGAGTGCCACCACTGCGATGGCCGGACCGTGGACACGGTGCTCCACACGCTGGCAGAATGCCCGGCGTGGGTGGAGTAAAGGCGTCGTGGCGGCCGTCGGAGTTGGTCTCGCTCGGTAACATGATTGCCGCAATGGTACGGAGGTTTTTTTTTCAGGAAAAAAAAAAGTTCTGGGAAGACATGAGACCACGATTTTACAAACAAATGTGGGTTAATAAATGTGGGTAATGTACAATAATAATATTGAGTGACAAGGTGATTTTTTAAGATAATTAAAGGTAAATTCCGAAATTATTCACAACGGTTCACTAAGCGCGATTTTCTTTAACACTGGGGATGTTCCCCTATCTCTGTAACACGGTTCACATTTCACTCGTTCACTGCACTCATTCACTATCACACGCGCACGAGATAACGCACTATTGTGGTCTGCGGGGCGGCGGACGGAATTAGGACGTGCTGCTATGACGAGCCACTATGAGTGCGACTGCCACTATTCTCGTTTTCGCCAGTTCATCGTTGCTGTTCTTCAATCAAAAACATAGTACAGAAGTTTAAATAGGAAAGATCATACTTTTATGTGTCCGCTGGTTTCTCTGCCAAGAACGCCAAGAACCAATGTTTGGGGTGCAATTGGAGGGTTTAAAAAGATGTAATTTAACGATATAAAAATGTTTATTATTATACACGTATAAGCTACTCAAAAATGTTCACAAAACATTATGATCCCAAGCCAGTTTCCGCAACTTCTGCATCTGTACCACATCTCTCCACTTTTTCCAGTGTCTAAATAAATTGCACATAAACTTTTAATTATATAATTACTTTTAATCTCTTTGGTTTCTTTCTTGGTATGTTTTTTGTGGTTGTTCGATTCCTTTTACGTGGCATCTAAAACAAAAAATAAGGTATTTTATGTCTCTTAAACGTAAATGGGGTAATGGGAGCTATGTCGGGTAATGAGAGCCAAGCTAGGCTACCATTAGCCGCTAACCACAATTTTGAAAAGTAACAACATAAATATGTAATTCTACTTTCATTCACAATACAACTAATTGGACTTGTTAGTAAATTAATCTAGGGATATAATAATCATAAATACAATAAAATAAGAATATAATTTCATGCTTACCTTGATCCTGGCAATTGTCAATTTTTTGTAAGCGTGGAGCAAAAAACACGCAATCGTCCCTCGTGACCAAACGAATGACACTAACAGTTCGAACGCGTCAGGCGTAGTTTGTCGATAGTTGACGGAAGCAGCCGAGTGCTTACGATCCCGTGAATGTGCATGGGTTCCGTTCAATCACCATAGCTACCATTGCCCGACCGCTCTCATTACCCCGCGTTCCCCTAACCTTTATGAATGCACCCGGTCGTGACGGTTCCGAAAGTTACACTGTTTTATTTTACAGAGTTTAGTTATTATGTATAATACGACGCGGCCTGACCGGATGCAATTCACGTGTTTGATGTCAGCAATACATCGAACAATCGGTTAGACGCATATCGTAGACGTAGGAAGTTTTACAGGTGGACTTGGCTCATTGGATGTGATTCACAAAATAGGAATGTTCTCGCTGGCATTCTGAATATTTAATAACTGTGATTCACAAAATAGGAATGTTCTCGCTGGCATTCTGAATATTTAATAACTGTGATTCACAAAATAGAAATGTTCTCGCTGGCATTCTGAAAATTTAATAACATAATTATTAACCATCCCCAGTTATTTTATTTTTTTCTGATGTTAAAATAAGAATTTGAAACGGCACACCAACCATGAACAATCCTCATATTCAATTATAATCAATTATATTGTAATTTAAATCAATCAAATTATTTTTAGTAAGGGGGGTAGTTTGTAGTTGCGCCGATATATATTGGCAGAGATATACTGTGAGAGATCATATACACATTGTTTTGTCAATATTTAGAAGATCTCTCACAGTGATCTGTCTCAGTCACTCACCCTCTTTTCAAGTAATGAGCCATCTTTTTAAATAGTTAAATATGAAACCTTGAAAACTTTCTTGATGTTTTTTTTCTATTCACCCCGCAATTACTACGAGTATAAACCCAGTTTTATGGTATTGTATCATGAATACCTAAGAAGTTAATTTTAATGAGTTACTAAAATGAGAGAGAAGAAAGAAATGATTTTATTTTTATTTTGACAACACATAAAAAAGTATAGATCAGATACAATTTTGCAGCTTAAATTGCCATCGGTGCCAAAAACGGACATGTATAGAAAAAATGACAAATTGACTGCACGGATGGCGTAGGTAGTGGTTTAAGCGGTCGCCCCGCCGCTTACTACTACGCTAAGTGCTGTGGGTCCGATCCCCATATGGGACTACACTTTGTGTGATCCACAAGTTGTTGTTCTGAGTCTGGGTGTTCTTTGTGTCCGTTTCATGTGTGTCTGTAAAGAACCCGCGACACAGGATATACTTACTAATGCGGGCGTTGTCTTTTTTAAAAAGAAAAGAAAAATAATAATAGTAATATAACAATAAAAGTGAAGATCTATATTAGAATTATATATTTTACACTGTTGTAAAACATAACTTGTTAAAAGAAAAAGAAAAAAAAAAAAAAACTTTTTGCATCACAAGGTAATTACTGCATGTAAACCCACCATTATATTTGCTCCACTACAAACCAGTATTAGATCGGACAACTTAATTTTAAGAAGTACCTACATCGCATAAAAATCAGTTTGGAATTATCTACCTGTCAAAGTTTACTTTTATCTTTTATAATTCGTATTTTATTTCTCCTTGTAAGTGATTTGTGTAATCTTGAGAAATAAAGTGATATTTAAACCGTAACTATATATATATATATATATATATATATATATATATATATATAGTTATTGTATGTTAACATTCAAGCCACCCATGACCACCTATCTATTATGACCAATAGCTGCTCGATTTTCGATTTTTTCGATTTCGCTTTTTTGGTTAAATTTGATTTTTTTGTAATTACTGGCTTTATTTGATTAAGACCAGTAATGTTTTACGGATGAAGGATATTAAAACCTCTGGTATAAAATTAATTATAATACAATAATCTTGGTCCGTGTGGTGACGGATTAAGAATACGGAGTGTCACCACACTTTTTCATGCCGTGGGTGTCGTCACGAGCTGACTAAAAGAGCAAACTACGCAAGACAACACAGCACTGCAAAGAGAAAGAAAACTTGACACAAACCTAGTTTATGTACATGCGTGCCGAGGCTTGGCAAACGTTCATAAGCACCGAGTCTTTACAAACGCTTTGATGCCATTTACACGCTTGCGAGTGTGCTATTGTGTTCCGGACAGGCAAACATATGTGGATATATTTTTATTAAAAATAGAAACGGCGGCACTAAACTAAAAAGAAATATTCTCTACTGCTCAACTAAACTGCTCAATCAGTGGAGCATTGAGATTTAATGTTGAATCCCGACTGCTCAACTACAATATTTGTAATATCAAATTGAGCAGTAGGGAACAAGCACGCGCCAATACGTCGCAAACGCTTACCGCGAGCTTCCTTTGATCTGTGTTCAAAAACCGACACTAGTACCGATCGACGACGAGCCTACGCGAGCCGAGCCAAACAATCTGTTTACACGCTTGTGGTCGTGGACACTTGTCGAGGCTCGCCATGCCCGTTTGGACAGCGTAGCATAGTCGGCCAAAGCGTCCTTTCTGTGAAAAGGCCTATGTTCAGCTGTGGATTATTAAAGGTTGTTAATGACAATAATCTTGGGCAATAGTCGTAAGAAATTGTTTTATTTCAATATTCAATTATACATATACTGATTAACAAATTATAATATATGAACAACACTTTGTGTGATACACGAATTATTGCTCTGATTTTGGGTGTTCTTTGTGTTGATTTCATGTATGTCTTAAAGTCCCCCGCGATACAGACAATTATATTTCTGGTGCGATGGTTATCTTTTTAATGATTTTTAAAAATAAAGTTTAAATATTCTATTTAACAATAGAAATGAGTTTTTATTACGTTTGCCAGTACCCTAAATTTATCCTCCTATTTTTTCTCTTGCCGATATTAAGCCCAATAAACTAATAATTTTATTTTTACACATTTATGTACATGCTTGCCAAAGTGGCTTACTGGGATACTGAAAACTTAGCCACGGAACACTGTCACATTCTATAAGTTTCTAATTGTATATATATACTAAATTTTGTAGTAAGTTTAAAAGTCTGCATCAACAATCGGTTGTTTTAAATCTACGAATTACCAGCTAAGGTCAGTGCAATTCGAAGTCTAATTTTGGTATTTTCAAGCAGGAAGTAACAAAGAGATATAATAATAATTTAATAATAGTAATTTATTTGAAAACTCCTAATCAGAAACAGGGCGAGCTAGGCAGGAAATCTACAAACTTTCTTCCTAGAAAATTAGGATTGAAAAAAGAATGGGATAGATATAAATGGGTGAAATTGTGCTTGAATATTCTAGATAAGAAAAGAACTATAGACGACTGTTGCCAAGCGTTGCCATGACCACACGCTGTGCATGCTCTCCTACAGGAGTGCGCGCTGCAGGTGATCAAGGCTAACGAAACAGAACCCGGCGTCGCTTTTTGAGGAGTTGTTTACTTTATAAGATTATTGCTTATTCAATCTCTACACATAGTCTCACTATAAAGGTCAATGTATTGTACATAAACTTTACTTTACTTTTTTTTTCGAGTTTAGCACAGAGTCTCAATAACCAAAAACAATTAAAATGAAAATAATTAAATGACAAACTGTCAATGTGGTCATATGTGTCACTTCAAATTCTAGTTTACTGAAATTAATATCGTGTTTTGGAACAGTTTGGATTTTAGGTCTGTTTTTCAGAAACCATTTCATTTAAATGACATGCTTTATGAGAGTGGAAAAATAAAATAAGTGACCGTGAAAGCAAATTGTCAAAATGAATTTAAAACACTATTTCGGACTAAAAACGTTATATGTTTGCGCTTGGGTGTGTTCTATTTATATCCTTAGTATTTTTTTAGTTGCGATGTTATTATATTAATTAAAACCTAATGTGTTTTAATTTTAGAAAGTACATCGTATAAAACAAATGTTGTGTAAGAGTATGAGTACTGAAGCATCATACGTAATAGAGGTATGTATGGTTTTAAATCTTTATAAATCTAATCTTTAAATTATTAAATACACACTATCTTTTCTTAGATCGGCTAGGAAAGTACCTTCACATCAACAGCCTTTAATAGTCCACTGTTGGACATAGGCCTCTCCTTAGAAAGAAGGTTTTGGCCTACTATATACCACGCTGGCCAGACGGGTTGGTATAGGGTTTGTGTCAAGTTTTCCTTCTTTTTGCAGTGCTGGTGTCCTGCGTTGTTTCGCGCCCTTAGTCGCCTCTTACGATACCCACGGGATGAATTGGGGTAGTGACATTCCGTATTCTTAATCCAACACTACACACTACCTTCACCTTACAGAAATGTGAAGTCAAAAACATCCATAGAAAGTAGTGCCACACAATGAAGTGGCTAGTGTAATATCAAAAACAGTCTAACTATACAATTGCATTGTTCAATCAGAGATTATGTTCATATTTTAAGACAGTGATATTTTTAGCTATTCTGGAACCTTACACCTCTTGCTTCTGGTCTTTGTTTTAGTCACCATACAAATTACATAAGCTACAGGCTGGTCCTCCTACGAAAGCAAACCTTACTAGTGCCGATGCGCTCAAAATTTATGAAAAGATGGTAGTTATGCGGCGAATGGAACAAGCTTGTGCTGACTTGTACAAACAGAAAGTAGTCCGTGGATTTTGCCATTTATATGCAGGTGTATATATTTCCCAACATTTTGATGGCTGATAACCATCTTTTTATTCAATTTTTTTTTTTGTTAATTCTGATAAACCATTAACAAAAATAGTTCAGACCGTGTCCATACTTACTCGGCCCTACTAATCATTTATATAAGTAATTGTTTAGTCAGTGCAAACAACGAAATTAGTACTTCTTTGAGTACTGTTTTCGTTGTTTGCCAATCAAGTTTACCGCTAAGACCAAACGAATCGTGTCCGCCCCTGAAGAACCATACCTACACCAAAATATGACAAGTTGTCTTGCACCAGGACCATCTTCAACCTCATTTCATTACTCTAACAATCGATCAAGTCACATTTGCTTTTGCTTTTTTTATTTCCAAATAGTAATGCAGGTGTTTACGTCAAATAATTTAAACCTGTAATATTTTCGGTATAATTTAACAGGCTTCTATGTAGTTGTAGTTTCTGACATTTTCTTGTTTCTAAAGAATTTTCCGAGACAGAAAAATCACTGAAAATGTAACCACTAAATGAAACCAAAGCTCGACAATGCTTGGCCAAAGTAAGCCCGTTGTACAGGATAGCAACTCTCAGTGTGACACAACTACACAAGCAATCACTCTTATGTAGTAATGAAATCACTTTAAGTAGCATAATCGACATCTAGTTAAACTGTAACAGGTCAAGAGGCAGTGGCGGTTGGTATCCACGAGGTTATGCGGAAACAGGATTCGGTTATAACTTCTTATCGGTGTCATGGTTATACTCAACTGATGGCCAATGACGTTCTGGGGGTTATAGCAGAACTTACAGGGCGCAAGACTGGCGTCTCACGTGGAAAAGGTGGTTCTATGCATATGTACGCACCAAAATTCTACGGTGGGAATGGCATTGTTGGTGCCCAAGTAAGTGATGTATGCTGTTTGTTCTAGTCCCTACTAGGAAACAAGCATTTAGTAAGGATTGAAAAAATATATTCCAAGATCGATATTAAAAAAAGGTAAAAATTACCACATCTAGCTACCCTTGATCTTTGTACTCTGCGATAACAGAACTTGTACAATATTTTAGTTTGCAAAAGTATTCACACTTACCCTCATTTACTTTTAATTATTTATTTTTTACTTACTTTGTATTATCTATATATAAATATATTGTAAATTGTATAATTATGTTCTCATGTAAGTGAATGTAATTCTTAATGAGAATAAAAGTTTCTGAAGCCCGAACTCGAAAAATTTGTGACACGATTCTTATTAAACTGCAAGTACTAGTATTTAGCCCCGACAACAAAGTACCATGCATACATAGATGCTTCGAGAACCTGCATTTTACAATGGTTAAAAACTTTTGTAAATATTCGTATTTATCTCATAAAGTAGGTATTGTGGTAGTTAGGTTAGGTTTCGTATTTTAATTTTAAATAGGGTGCAACTACTAAAATGCTATTATTTGTCTAATGTCTATATTTATGTATGCATGTATGTATAATTATGTAGGTATATGTATGATGCGTGTAATCATATATGTTACTTAAAACTTCATAACTACTATTACAACTGTGTTAAGTTTGAAAAAAGTTGTAAAAATAAATAAAATCATCAGAATACTTTTTTAATGATCATCATAAAAAAACATATGTCAAAAATCAAATCGTGAATGTGTATGTATATACATATATATTATATACCTACCTACCAAACCTAACTTTCAAGATATTGAACTTTTTTAAAGTTGCCGTAATTTTGCCTAATATATTTTTTAGAACTTATATCCTTTTTTTCTTATTTTACTGTTTTTTGTTTTATACATGTCTTTACCAAAATCACTACCTAAATATTTTTTCTCGAAGAATTTCGTCGTTTTTTTGAACCCTCATAACTTGGGTTTAGATTATACCAGTTAAACGAAATTCTCGGGATATAATGTCAATAGTGAACTTATCAAAACTGAAAATTTTCGATAGCATAACTTATACTTAAGATTTTATTGATATCTAAAACCCCGATTCTGTCACTAAATCACTGATGACCATCAGAATTAATAGGGAGTAGTATTCCTATGAATTCTGATGATCATCAGTGAGTCATTAGTAGGAAGTATCCTGAAGTCTTAGAAAGCTAAAATTAGTATGTAAGCTAGTATAAGTACACAAATAAAAAAAAATTGTAAAAATTGGAACTTTCCCAAGGACAAATATATACAACAACGATAAAGGATAAAATATATACAACAATTAAAAACAAAATATTATAAATTTGAGAATGGGTGTTAACATTATTAAATAATGCTCGTGTAAAGTAACGCCAGAAGACTGAAAAACCAAAACTGTAGATGGAACTAAAGGAATTATCCAGAAGGTCAGTTCTCGTGAAAAACGAAAATGCCTTATATGATATTTGTGAGATCGAGAGTATATCAGAACTGAATATTAAACGAACTTTTATTACGGGAATTGACCCTCAGGAAGACTGGGAAAAAGAAGTATAGTTTGATTTAGTTTATGATCAAGAAATTAAATTATTCTGCAGGATTGTTCCAGCAACAACTATATTTGTGTAAGAAATTATTTTGTTGGTATTTTGCTTGAATTGCTGTTTTCTGTATCCCTATATTTGTGTAAGAAATTATTTTGTTGGTATTTTGTTTGAATTGCTTTTTTCTGTATCACAGCTAAATCAATGAAACTGTAATTTGATTTTCTCATGTAAGTGAATAGTTTATGTTATTCTTTGTGAGAAATAAACGATCTTAAACCTGAACAACGACTGATGAAGATGATTTGGATTGTACGACTTAAGAAAATAAATCTTAAAATACTTACGCGCGCGTAAAACGCCTAATGTGTACGTGTTTGCCGTCCGAACAGAAACGGTTGTTGGCGATTACGCCCGAAGTCAATATCAAAGAAAGAAAGCGTTCGAAGCGAACGGGCACACGTCGTCGCCGTCGTTGCGAGTGGATATCTCGATTCGATTTTTGATGCGATTTTTAAATAAATTATCCTGAAAAAATGTTTAGGTACGTATTTAAAACCTAGTGATGCAAAATAAATAATTTAGAATATGTATATTTTTAATTAATTAATTACAGGTATTCTTTAATCATCACATCACAGCCTTTAATAGTCCACTGCTGGACTTAAGCCTCTCCTTAGAAAAGAGGTTTTGGCCTACTAGACAAAAGTTCATAATTTACAGAATTATGAACTTTTGTCTAGTAGGCCAAAACCTCATAGTATCTTACTATTATCACGAAACATCACGAAAATTCCAGAGAATTCATTTAACCGCGCAATACCGGGAATGGTTTTAATAATAATGCAGGTTGACACGGAAACGAAACGGTTGGTTGGTTAGAAGGGGATAGTTCTCGTAGGGATTGGAGTCTGTTAGAATGATCATTTACGAGGAGTATAAATACAAGCCGTCTTCGTCGATCAGTGCAGTTCAGTGCGAGCTACAGTGCGATAAACAGCAACCACGGCGATCATTCCGGACTATTCTTCAGTGTTGTTGAACGTTTTCAAATGAAGTGTAACTTTAAATGTTAATAATTTTTGAATTATTAACAAAAAACAAAATGCTATCTTTTTTTAATCTTAATTTGTTAATAATAATTGCAATGTATAAAACAAACTTGTGCTAATACATACTTTCGATACATTTTTCTAGACGTCATTCCAAATGAAATGAGACATCGCTCATATTTTTAGGAGGTTTATCAAGAATTAACAAGTTTTTCAACTTGTTAACTAGCATTTTAGTCGTTAGAAAGTTTATTATTCAAAATCAACGAACATTAACACGTAACAGTATAAATGTACATGAACCTTTGTGATAGCAGAAATAAATCATTATTATTTATTATTAATTAGATACAGAAAATGACATAGTATCGTCCTGATCTATCAATTATTACCAATAGTACACCAACAAAAAAAGTCTAAGATAGAGAGTGGGCTATGGTAAGAGGCAGCTCTGATGTGCAACAAATACACCGGCACTCGACGGCTGGGATACGCATGGGCAGTATCCGTAACAAATCAAAATATTAGAATATACCTCGTTTGTATAGGTCGTCATTTTTAACAGTATCAGCCAGTTAGCAATAGTTAGTCACGAATTGAAGAGTCCAAAATACAAGCTAAGTTTTTTAACTGGGTACTACCGGTTTATGTGCTAATTCTTAATAATATTACCGGTCATTCATCTAAGTTTTTTTTTTATGAATTTTGATACTATCTTAGACTATATATTATATGTTTGATAACTGACAATACGTACGTGTTTTTTAACACATCTGCAATCTAACTGTCAAAGATTTTTGATTTTAATTCGACAAAGAAAGATTTTTTTTTAATTTATTTCTTTTTGTTATTATTAACCGTCTACTCCGGCCGAGTTTATTAAGTACAATATTGGTAACAATGTTTTAACTAAACAAAAAAAGTCAAAAAAGGAAAAGTATAAAGGATATAAGTTCTAAAAATATTGTATTAGGCGAAATTTCGGCAAGTTTCAAAAAAATTTTAAAAGTTCAATATCTTCAAACTGGTTAGGTTTCTGATATGGTATTTCATAGTAAAATCTATCGGAAATGATGGTAACTATAACACCTTAAAGTATCTAGGTCGACTTAACCAGTAACCCTGTATATATAGTATTATTTACTACTACTACTATATACCCTGTATATACGTATGTAGTAGTAAGAAGTGGTTCGGGTTGTGGTTGCCATCATTTCTGTATATATATTCTACCGAAATCCTGATTTTTTGGTAGCAAAATTAGCCTAATTACGAAGAAATGTCGTCAATGGGGATTTCCGAAAAAAAAGGGTAAATGTAGTGTGGTAATTATCTAAGTAATTTAATATCGACTTTCTTTGCTAGGTACCTCTGGGCGCAGGAGTAGCGCTTGCGCATCATTATAAGGGTGATGGTGGTGTGTGCTTCACTCTATATGGCGATGGTGCTGCCAACCAAGGCCAAGTATTTGAGGCGATGAACATGACAATGCTGTGGAAGCTACCCTGCATTTTCGTCTGCGAAAACAATAAATATGGTGTAGTTGATAGAGTCATATGATATAAATACGTAGATGTTACAATCTATACAAATAGATACAATTGAAGTGTCTATTTGTAATATCAAAACAAAAGGTTTTTTTATACTCACACGGTTATTAAAATATTTTTTGTCTGTCTGTATGTTGCGGGTAAACGGCCTAACCGATTTTGAAAATATTTTACTACCAGGTTGCTGTTAATATACGAAGCAACTTACAACATTTTGCCTCTCAGACAAACCCTACAGAATTTTGCCCGGTCCGGGAGTCGTACCCTCAAACACCACGCGATCGTATAGGGTTTGTGTCAAGTTTTCCTTCTCTCTGCAGTGCTGTTGTTCTCTGTAGTTTTCTCCCTTAGTCGCCTCTTACGACACCCACGGGATGAATAGGGGTGGTGACACTGTATTCTTAATCCGTCACCACACGGATCTATACATACAAAATTACTTGCTCTAACTGACCTGATTCATCAACGCAGCTCGTTCTTTTATGTTGTAAGCACCCACATTTTTACAAATTTTACCTCTAAGGGGGTAAAATAAGGGATGAACGGTCGAATAGAAGTTCGTAATTTTCAAAGTTAGATATTAAAAATATCTAGTGCAAGATATGTTATAACCGTGATAGTTTTCCTATAGTTATCACTTTTGGTTCCTTCTTTGCTTTTCTGAAGACATATTTAACATTAGTTTTTTATGTTAGAGTGCACATTACATATGCTATATTACATTACACATTATATATATTTACATATTACAAATATCCAAGATTCAGCAAGAGATGGAAATAACTTAATACAAAACATTTATTTGCATGAATATGGTACAAAGCTCTTAAAAAATACACATCGAAAATACAAATCTTAAATGAAAAAAAAAAAAAAGATTTTAAGGATACAGATCAGCAGGACAATATCAATAGGTAGAGACTATCATTTAAATAATACAATACTAAATATAATATTAATTATCATTATAATATTTAATTTCCACGCGATAGCTGGGTAAGAGGTGAGAGGGGAGGAGAAAAGGTCGATCCTGATGCTGCCGCTTTTTGCATTTAAGCAATTTTGTAATAAAATTTTAATAAAAGCTATTTTGTAGGATTGGGTACGTGTGCGAATCGTTCATCAGCATCTACGGACTACTACACACGAGGTGATTATATACCAGGCATTCATGCAGACGGAATGGACGTGATTGCCTGTAGAGAAGTTGCACGATTTGCCATCGACTACTGTACCAGCGGGAAAGGTGCTTTCAATTCTTTATGATAAAATAGGAAATTAAATAAAACTTTGAACTGTTGTAGCCCCTTGCAGCCTGGGCTCCTACAGCTATTCGTCGTCTGTGCATTCGATGTCACTTTGGTTCAAAACTGCTGATCCCTGTGCTCCAAAGCTATGTATATTTACATTTTTAGCGTATAATGGAGTTTATGCGTCGTCCAGTGGACCGACTGACGAAAGTCAAATCAACGGACGTCACCTTCTTTTTTCAGATGAGAGACGTAGCGTTTTGTTCTCGCTTTATCTCTATCATTTTAAAGCGGTCCTTCATCTCAGCTAGTACTTGTAAACTCTATTTTGTAGCAAATGTGAGTATCTATATCGCCCTTCTAAGGAGTCGTCGTCAGGAAATATGATTCCAGCAAGGCGGGATTGAGCGCCTGCATTCTGTATGTCAATAGGCTCGTATCCGAGTAAATTAGCATTCGGAATAAGCTAGCCGGGAATGAAGTCGTCTGGAAGTGGCATATACATAGGTTGGTTTGCCTGTTAAGCCATGACTCGGGCTGAAGTTACATAAGGTGATACGTAACATTCGTAAACATTATGATTGGCAGCATTGATAGGTCCAAAAGTGATATGTAATCTGCAATAGACTGCGGCAGTACTTGATAGTCTGGCAGAATTTCTCTAGCGTCAGTCCTTAAATTCAATACGTTATGATGGCCGGCTTGCCTGGCTGTTTCCAAAATTTCTAAGTTTAGATGTGTAGCCATCGCATGGGTAAACATGGACTCGGGTAGTCTTTCATGTAGGCGAGGATCTATGCCACGCATCTTTTCATGTGTTTCCTTTAGCTAGGGGATAAAACCTGAAAACTCGAAGTTTGACAGTATACATCCTGCATAGGAATTAGAGAAGAGTGGGGGCCTATGTCATGGAGAGGTTCATCTCGAAGGGCATCCTCACTAGTGCTAGGCTTAACCTCCTGAATTTTCTCCTCCTTATTTGATTGATTCTTGTTGTTATTCTTCTTATTATTCTTAAAATTCTGAGACCGATCAGTTTGCCGTCGATTAACCTCTCGGTTTTGATCGTACGGTTGGGGTTCGTAATTCCATTCCTGCTGGAGTTGGCGGGCATTAAAATGTTCGTAAGCCCGCTGGGCGTCGCGCGCACTTCGGCGGTTACCACCGGAATTTTGGCCTCTGCCATGTGGAGCGTTACATCGATTTTGGTTTTGTTGGTTCATCTCGATGAGGAATTATAATTGTCAAGAACTCCAGTTCAGGCAACACAACAACTGGCTGGTCATTTCAGTCTCTTCCTCTATTCTTTTTTTTTCTATTTCTAATTTTTTGGTCACCAGTCTGACGTGAACCGATACAGACAACCAGCGTTCTGACGCTCACGCTGAAGTCTATCGGTAATCGGCTGGGTTCGGGCTGAGGCGCTCCAGCCGGTCATTGTTGAGTGGGCAAACTCGCAGGGCGGCAGCACGGGATCTTTTACAATCTGACTGACACAGGTTCTTTCCAGGCAATGTTGCTTCGGAGAGGACCCTGCACTCGGTCCTTGGGAGGGCACCGAGTCCCGCCTGTCAGCACTGCGACTGCAATGAGGACTTAGGTCTCGGTTTTTTACACGCTAGCGGTTTGTCCTCATGGGTAACGCAGCGCTGGGCCATCAGTACAGCCATAGGAGAGTCTCTCTCTACAGACCGACATACTCTCTATGCCCGGTAGCGACAGATGTTTTACCGCAGTCGATCCGATCGAGGATCCAGCGGAAAATGCCCGAGAGGAAAAACTCTACCAGGAAGGAAAAACTCCACTCGGTGGAGGCACGTATTCCAGCGCCTCATGGCGCCTTGAATTTTCCGCGGAACGGAATGCGTTTTCCATGCAATGATTTTTGTATCATCCCCATCTTGTATTATGGTGGTTTATGCTGTTAAGACCTAAATACTATAAATGTGGCCGCCTTCTGAATAATCAATGTTGATAATAATTAACAACAATGCGCTCTCTGTAAGAAATTCAGGGATATCCTTAACATAAAATATTTTTATCAACAGGACCTATTGTAGTAGAAACGGAAACATATCGGTATTATGGACACTCGATGTCAGACCCGGGCACATCATATCGTACCCGTGATGAGGTTAAAGAGATGCGCGAAAAGTACGATCCGATCAACACATTTGCGAGAAAAATTAAAGAAGCCAAGCTAGCCACGGATGAGCAACTTAAGGTATACTGTCATACGTGCAATTTCAGGGTCCTTATTGGCTCGATTTGTATTTTTTTCCTCATACTTTTTTTTTGGTTTATTCCTAGTAGTTCCATATAGCCAGTTCCACGTGGAACTTTTGCAACCATGTAGGTTTCATGTATGGAACTAGTGGGAATAGCTATTTGAAACGGAAAATTATACCCGATAATTCCATGAAGTACCAGTTACGTTTTTGTATTATAAAACATGAAATCATTTCCTTGTTTTCTTGTGCCACAAAAAAAAATATTTTGAATACGAAACGAATTCAGAAACGGCTAGCAATATCAACGCTGCGTTTGGGAGCGGAGACTGCTAATGAAAGTACTGTGGTTTTTGGTTTAAACGCTTTCGTAATGGAAACTTCGACTTGAAGAACGAACCACTGAAATGAAGGAGATTGTGGAAACCGATCCGAGTCAAACTACCCAGGAATTATCGGCATGGTTTAACGTTGCCCTATCTACGATATAAATCAATAAGATAAAAAAATATGAAAAATGATCTGCAGAAAGAAATGCGGGTTGAAACTTGTGTTGCCTTGTTGAATCGGTACAGAAATGAAGGAATATTTTATCGAATTGTGTCATGTGACGAAAAGTGAATGGTTTACCATAACCGTAAGCGAAAAATGCAATGGCTGACCCCAGGTCAAACGCCGCGATAGTTCCCTAAAGCAAGCAAAGCTTACCAATAAAAAGATAACGGTAACTGTTTGGTGATCTCTTCATGGTGTTATTCACTATAGCTTTCTCAGGTCTGGTCAGGAAATAATAGCAGATGTTCACTGTGCCGAACTTCGAACAATGTTGGCGAAACTTGCAGTGAAACAGCCCCGACTCGTGAATATATCTTCACCATTATTGCTCCATGATAACGCGAGACCTTACACTGCACGAGAAACAGTTGTAACTCTACAGGAGCTGCAGTTAGAAGTCATACGTCATCCTCCGTACTCGCCAGACCTTGCACCAACGGTCTACCATTTTCTTCCTGTTTTGGACAATTTTCTACGTGATAAAAATTTCTTACCAGGAGGCAGTAGTAAATGCTTTCACACAGTTTGTCGAATCTAGTTCTATCGGAAAGGCATAAATAATCTTCCGTTTAGATGGCAGCAATGTATAGATAATGAGGATAAAAAATTTTGATTAAATAAATATGTTACATCTTAGAATAAAACGAGTTTCAATTTTTCAGTACAAATGGGTAATTTCATACTTTAACCCCCTTTTTTTCTGTGCTGAAATCCCCTCGGATACCACCCACCGGTGGCCATGTCATACCTAATATTAAATATTTTTATAAACAGTGATCATTATGATGTCAAATGGTATGAGAAATATTTTCGAACTTCCGAAATTAGGACTTAAAAAGTTTCATATGACAGACATTATGACTATGATTCCATATTATATTATGATTATGATTTCATATGACAGACATTGCAGACATTATGTCTGCAATGTATTTAATGTACGACGTGTGTTTAAAAAGTAACGTGACTTTTTAAATTCCGTGGGTTATGGTTTTATTTATTTTTATTGTATTGGTCCAGTCGTGACGATTATGCGTTCACAGTTTCAACCATATATATAGGCTAAATGGTTGATACTCTGTACGGAACGATAGGAAAGGGATACTGCTTACAAGGATAGATTGGAAGCGAAACTGAACAGGATGTAGGCAGCAAGTCAAGTGGATGGTACAACATGTTTATATATTTCTAAGTACATTCATATTACACGTAAATTACACCCAGACAAACAATCGTGCTCATCACACAATTATTAGGGTCACTAACCACTAGACCAAATTTGTCAGTCAGTATTCTAGTATTTTATTACCATCCTAATACAGATAATCGGATCGAATAATTTATTGCAACTCAACTAATAATTTATGTTGCTGGTAACAGGAGGCTTAACTAGGTCTCACAGTAGTTTTTAATTGCAGGCGATCACGAAAAAAGTTCGCGATGAAGTTGGAAAAGCGGCAAAACAAGCAGCGACGGATCCAGTAGTGGGCCTGGAGGAGCTAAGTGCTGATGTCGAAAAATTGTGCCTTTTTCCAAATCAAATGCTTCGGGGCCTTCACCCAGGCAGTCCTCTGAAGCACTTTAATTTACAAGGGTAGTTTAATAGTAACATGCGTAAAAATAATAAATAGAAGTTGCGTTGTAATACTAAGTTAGTAAATTTTAAAGTATTAGTAAATTTGTAAAAATACAACCATGATTTGTCACTCGGCCATTTTTATCGCGAACACATTTTTAAGTTAAGTAAAGTAAGGGTACAATACCTATATTGCCTAGGTGCCTTACTACTAGTTATTACCTCGGTGGTGTAATGATAGCGTATGCGACTGCTGTGCTGAGGTCCTGGGTTCGATTCTCAGGTCGAACCCAATATTTGTATGATCTGTAAATGTTTGTTTGGGTGTTTCATATAATTTATATTTTTATATTAATCATTTATGAATAATCCGTGTGGTGACAGATTAAGAATACGGAATGTCACCACCCCTATTCATCCCGTGGGTGTCGGAAGAGCCGACTTAGGGAACAAACTGCACAGGACAACAGCACTGCAAAAGGAAGGAAAATTTGAAACAAACCCTATGCCAACCCGTCTGGCTAGCGTGGTATAGTAGGCCAAAACCTGTTTTCTATGGAGAGGCCTATGTCCAGCAGTGGACTATTATAGGCTGATGATGATATGAATAATATGTATGTACTTACAAAAAAAAAACTAGTATTCTATCAGTCAATCTAATCTGCTGAAATTCCTGCCTGCTATGCCTGCTGCTGAAAGTAGATGGCGTTGTGTGTTGGATGTATGAAAATATTGTTAAATTGTTTATCGAACTTTGTTTACCCTGTCAAAATTTAAGGAATTTGTACCGTGGTGGTGGTGCACATGATAATGCTGGTCCCTGAGTCATCAGTAAGGCTTAGATGATGCATCCCCTTTTATGATTCCGTTGCAAGACTTGTGAAAGGAATACAAATCATGTTTGTTGCACCGCAATGTCTGACCAATGTTTTCTCAGGAACTCAGACATCGGGTGTCTGTCTGAACCAACCCTTATTCAATCTTGGCACTTGAAATAAAATGAAATGACATACGTTTAATAGCATAAAATACAGGTGAGCACCTCCTCCTACAAAAAATTAAATCGGTTCGTGGCAAGTTTTTAAATAAAAATCGAATAGGCGCGAAAAACCGGTTTATTGAAAAAAAAAACATGGAAAACAATGTTTTTATGGAAAAAGCAAAAAATAGAAGGTTGTGAGAAAAAAACGAGAAAAAGAGAGTTGCTGAAGTAAATTTCCTTAGAAACTTGACAGGAAAACACGCTTTATCTCGCGATTTTCGGACCTGGATTTTTTCAGTTTGTGTGACCGTATGGATTGAGGAGCCACTTCATATTTTAAATGAAAAATTACTCGTTATTTAATAGGTGAGCAAAAAATTTTGTAGGACAAATCCTGAAGTTTGTAGTAAGATATATGCAAAGTTACAGTTAGTTAAAGTTAGTATAATCTAAACATCTGAATTGAGGAGTCACCTGAAACACGAAAAGTATTAAATGAATTGTGTATAGCGCCTACTAAAAATCTGAATCAAGTATTGTTGATATTCACTAATATACAATATTTATAGTATTTATAATATATTTAAGAGCATGCATTGCCATGAAAATAATAGATCAAAATTTACGAGTAAATTTACAAAATTTACTAAATCTTTTTGGAGTGGAATATCCACTCCAAAAAGATTTAGTAGCAAGTGTGTTTGAATTTGTAGCATTAAGAGAAAGTAGTAAAACTGAGTGAATTGAGCAAATAAACGCATTTTATTTGGCTCCTCAATCCTGACGTTCTGATTAATAAATAATCGACTTTGTGTACCTGAGATCACAACAGAAACAAAAACCAGAGACACTAGCATTTAGTAGAAATGTCTACTAAATAAATATGTACAGATCAACCTTGTATATATTCGGTATCTGAAAAATAAATTACTTTTTGATATTCTTTATGAATTCGCTATATAAGGTGACTATGTCAAAATGTAAAATCACAAGGACTAATTTTTAAATCGATCTAAGTGGCGTGCAATGGGAGAGGCCTATGTCCAGCAGTGGACTGCGATAGGCTGATGATGATGATGAATTTTTAAATTGGATTTTCAACAAATCGACAATTATCAAAATATAGGAATGTACAGAAATTCTTCAGTTATAATTATTTTTTAACCAATTTAGACATAAGTTATACAATGAATTAATATTGGTTAGTCGGTGCTTACACGGATTTTACATTGAGTTTACCACATCCTTTGTTGGGTAGTAACATGTATAGTTGTCCATTGCCAGCGTCGGTAATTGCAGGGATAAATTCTATAACACCTATTATTATACTACCTACTACTTACCTCCTATTTATGCCGCGATAAGAATAATTAAAGTAAAAATTCCCTTCGTCTGCAAAAACTATTTATCAGTTTTAAGATACTGATTCTTGTGTCGTGGTGTATAAATATTATTGAGGGTAGATAGGTGAACCAAATTAATTTGCAGTTGCCTTCAAATAATTAGATGAAATAAAATAACATAGATTTGAGTACGAAACGAAATACCTTTTATATAAGTTATTCATGGACACCCGGGTTATAAAAAAATTGTTAGAAAATTAAAATATACCTAATAAGATAGTATTAGATGCTGTACTTTATTATGACAGGATTATACGTACATTTAGTTTCAATTTATACAAAATATAGATGTTTTATGTTCCAAATTTCGTCATAAGTATGAGCATATTAATCACATCTATTTACCTCAGCATCTTAATTTAGGAGCCAGTTAAAATGTGCTATATCCCCAATTCACTTATTTTTAATTATCGACTCTACACTACAAATTGAATGTACTTGGAGGACTATATGGAGGTTATCAATTTTATTCGTGGATTGGCTAATTCTATCCGACTAGATTCTATTCTAGACTACAAATTCTTCTTCAATATTGATTCTAGACTAGATTCGTTTCTAGTCTACAATGAATATTTATAGATATCTACATATCCATAAACTGTGTTATTGGGTATAGCTCATCAAAGACAAAATAAAACAAAGTATTTCCTTAATATATAGATTTTATTTGTTCTACATAATACGACATTATTAGTAAGATTACTGTACATACATTGGCTATATATTTGGTATAAAAATATCAGTTTGATCACATGAAGTTTCGTAAATAACTCTGAGCGCAATTTATTATATGAACACTCTCTACACTAGAAATGCTAATATGATAAGATAATAAGATGCTTTAAAATACTGAAGCAATATGAATTCTTTAATAAATTATGTATTAACAATAACTATAAGAAAATATGCTTTTATACAAAAAGGCACAACATTGATGACATAAACTATATTTTCGTTTGATTTTTTTACATTAGGGACCATCCGCACAGCGATATTTTACCGCGCGTACTTTTGCGCAAATTTTTGTGACACATGGGATCTGTATATAACTATCCGCGCTGTCGGAAAAAAAAAACTCGCTATGAACAATCTGTGATTTAATACAAAATGAACGCGATACGGTAGCGATTTATTTCCACAGAATTTTGCGGGAAAAAACTCGCCCTTTCAGTCCCCCCTCCCCCCAGAATCAGGTAACCTCGCTCACTAGGTAAAAAGCAATGAAAGAACTGCTTAACACCGGTCGAACCTGGTCCATATGTGCCTCAGCACATTAACAATGATTAAAAGGAAAATGTAAAGAATATTTTCTTACTTGGTCATTTTTGTTGATTCGTATGATTTGGCCGATAACCAAAATCGAAACATTAAATTTAAAACAAATTCGTATAAACCATAAAAACATTTTTGATTGGCCTAGTAGCGGTCCTTATTGAATTAATTTGTGAAGGAACGGCTGTCATGTCCCTCCGACATAAAGGGAGGATCCTCCGACCAGGCGAGGTGCTCATAGCTGGTGGGCCGCGGCCCCAACGGTTGATGTTGGGAAGTTGTATATATGCTGATCGGCGAGACAATAGTTAATATCGCGATACAGGATTAGCAGTTACTCCGTAGTTCGGCGTGTCTTTAATAGATGGCGCTGTTTTTTTGTTTCACCGTATGTAGAAGACGCCACATCACTCCCCTGCAAGACCGGAGGTCGATATATGATGAGTCAGCTGTCTATGCTCCGTTGTGGAGTATGTTTAGTAGCAGTTGGTTACCATTTTTTTTTTACGTGTGGATATCCCCTCGTAGCGGGATGGTGTTTCGTAATCGGACCGACTAAAACCACACATTGCGCTACTCTGCCCCTGTAATAGGAGGGATCCGGGCACTGCTGTTATTAAGACAACCGGACCCGTCCTAGCGCGTGCCCGCACACGCGAACGTCGCCTCTTCGCGGCTGGCCGTTATGGCGGATGGAGAGCGCGTCTCCGCCGCCCGGTTCGTCGGCGGCGAATTAGGTCCGAGTGGAGATCATCCTCCCAAACCATTGTGGCTCGGTGAGCGACTTCACTCCACTCGCGGACGTTCAGGTGGGAGCCTACTGCCACTATCCGCCCGGAACTCAGCGGTCCGCCGACGTATGTCGGCGAGCACTTCCGCCTCCAAATCCCACGGGGGAGTAACGGCCAATGCGCACACCGCCTCCGACGAAACGGTGCGGTTACCGTGTATGGCTCTAACGGTTTGTTGATTGCTATTTTAGTTATAAAAAATAATACTCCTCTGCCTACCCCTCCGGGGTAAGTAGACTAGTAATTGTTTTCATTCGATCAAATCATAAACATATATAGTCTGTTTTTTTAATCTCGTAGACTAAATTGACACATGCAAATGTCAAATTTACAAATAATGTTGCCAGCTCTTTTGTGCAGTGTTGTACCTACGATACCGGTTAGTTGAATCGTAACTTTTTATTTATAATAGACGAATTTAATTTTCATTCAAAGTTTTACAATTCACGTACGTACACACGGCTGCACGACGTGCTACAAACTGCCAGGGAAATCTGACCACGCAACGCCATGCGTAACCCGACCATGTTTCGATGCCTTTAAATTAAACAAAAAAAAAAAAAAAAAATAGACGCCATCAGTGTTGTTCCCGTACGCGTTAAAACGGCAATCTTATCCCTTTTCTCTTACGAAACGGCAGAACTTAAAAAATACGGCAATTATGGAACTTGACACCATACGAACAATTGTACGAATACGTAATACGAACGATTGAGTTGGTCTGGGCTCAAGTAAAGGGGCATGTCACTAAAAATAATAAAACATTCAAAATGAATGAAGTACGAAGCCTTTTTGAAGAAGGTCTTCGTCAAGTGACCCCGCAGCGGTGGAAAGACTGTATAGTCCATGTAATTAAAATTGAAGATCAAATGTGTCATCTGGGCCATATAACCGACGACATTACTGATAGGTTTATCATAGAAGTAGGTGGCGATTCTGATGACTCATAATATTCCTCAGACATGGAGTCATTATCTGAATCAGATTAACGCGAATACCTGTAATTATGTTATTTAATTAAAAATATATGTTTTACATTATTAATTTTGTATTATTACGTTTTAAATAAGTACCTACACATTATTTCAGGATAACTTATTGTAAAAAAACGATACTTGATTTTATTAACGCTAAGTTTCGGTTGTGCCACATCACTATTTAAGAATTGCAATAAACTGACAACACTCGTAATGTCAGTTGAGTCTACGAGATTAAAAAACAGACTTTAGTTGATGATTTGATTCGAATGAAATGATTTGATTTAATTAATTGTAACACAAAATCTAATAGACATAATGATTCATCAATCTTATACACATTTTCTTAATTAAATATAGCTACATTGTTATAAATATTTAAAAACCTTCAAATTACTTGACAAACATAAAAATTTATATAAATATTTTTAAATATTATATTAGACAGATTAATGAATTAAAATTAAATACTGGTAATTTTAACATTATAAATAATGTGTGGCGTGTATTCTCGTAGTAAAATATTAAACATCCAACGTTGCATTAAATTTGATTCTATGGTATTGTGACCGAAAGGTGAATCGGTAGGATTACTTTACTACTTTGCCACAAGAATACCTTTTATGAGATTTGCGAGATGGAACGTAAATCGTAACAGAATTTTGATTTTATTTTTTTATTACAAGAATTAATCTTCAGTTTTCATTGGAAACGCATTGAATCCAATTTTCGATCAAGATTCAATTTTAATATATTTATATATATCAATATGAACATATATTCTTAAAAATAATATTCCATATAAATACGTAAAGCAATAAGAATAAATTATATTACAGCACGTAAAAATCTTATCAAGTAAAGTTCTATCTGTTTCTTTATCGAATGTTTTTTTTTTAAATTGTGTATTGTTTTTTATATTACAACAAGAACCTATCTTTTTTATCAACAATTCTAAGTTTTTCGACATTTATTCTTCTTTTCCTGGGTCTACCTCATCCTCTCCCTCTTCAGCGAAGCCGCACTGCAACTGGTAGAGTTTTGCGTATATGCCTTTGCGGGCGATGAGTTCCTTGTGAGTTCCCATCTCGGCAACAATACCTTTATTTATCACTACAATCACATCGGCGTTCTGTATGGTTGAAAGACGGTGAGCTATGATCAGACATGTTCGCCCTTCGCTTGCCTTGTCCAACGCATCCTGCACTATCTGAAAGTAAAGAAAGAGCAAATTGTTATTTGAAATCATTTTTCATATGAACGTCTCTTGGTAAATTTTATTGAAAAAGGAGGAATACTTTTTAGGTTATATTTTAGAACATTCTGAGCATCCTATCCTATCTATATCATCGTCATACAACTTATACGGTCGGGCTGCAACGTATACGGTTCTTCCTGGCCAGAAGCAATTGCTTTTTTAACAAGATATATTTGTGGTACATTTAACCTATTTATTGGAACTGCAAGAACAATAAAAGAACATTTAATGGATACGTCTATAACATAACATGCATAAAGTTGAATAGAAACACAAAAATAAGGCATAATATTTTTTAGTTTTGGTTATCATGATTTTATATTTTTCGAGGAGTAAACAGTTTCAAAATACGTGCACTATGCATTCTTTATTTTAAAATGTGGTCATTTTTAGCAATATCTGCTTTTCTCCGTAATAAAAGTGGACCAATTACGAAACATACAAACATACCTTTTCACTCTGCGTGTCGAGGGCTGATGTAGCCTCGTCTAAGAGTAAAACGCGAGGGTTTCTGACCAGAGCCCGGGCGATAGCTATCCGCTGCTTCTGGCCGCCGGACAACTGGGATGCTCTGGCGCCGATTCTGGTCTCATAGCCCTAATGTTACAGAAAATTAATCTACTATCAACATTCACCATCAGAACAGAAGATAATGCCAATTGAAAAATTTATTCATTTAATTATACACAGAATGCAACAGAAAAGTATGTTTAGTTTTTTAGCATTAAGTAGTAGACCCAGTAAATAACAATACTAAGGCGCTAAGTGTGCTGATGGTATGAAAGTTTAAAAAATTTAATATGATAATGTTAGTGATTAAAAGGAGAGAGAGTGAACTCAATGAAATACTCACATTAGGTAAAGCAGCGATAAAGCCGTGAACGTTTGCCTTTTTGGCCGCAGACACAACTTCTTCGATGCTTATTTCCCGACTGTTGTCTCCGTATTCAATGTTTTCTCGTATGCTGCGGTCGAATAACACCGGCTCTTGCGATACGATACCGAGGTTGGAGCGTAACGTGCACAGCCGCATGTCGCTCTCGATGCTACAATCATCCAAAAACTGAAACAAATATATTATCTTAGAATATAGTATTTGAAAAAAGCAATAATGTTCTCTATTTATTCTATTAGTTTATACTCTCCACTTTTAACTTTGACTGCACGGATGGCGTAGTGGTTTAAGCGGTCACCACGCCGCTTACTACTACGCTGAGTATTGTGGGTTCGATCCCCACATGGGACAACAATTTGTGTGATCTGCAAATTGTTGTTCTGAGTCTGGGTGTTCTTTGTGTCCGTTTCATGAATGTTTGTAAAGTCCCCCGCGACACAGGCTATATTCCTAGTGCGGGAGTTGTCTTTTTTAAATAAAATAAATAAATAACTTCCTCAATTGACTTGACAATTTGACGACCGAATGGCGTAGTGGTTTGTGTAACGGACTGCTACTCCAAAGGTCGCGGGTTCGATTTCCGCCCAAGTCAAACATTTGTATGCATGAACATTTAGTTTTTGATTTGGTCTGGGTGTTTCTATGTATAATAAGTATGTATTTACAAAAAAAAGTATATATGTATTTATATCAGTTGTCTAGTACCTACCCATAGTACAAGCTCTGCTTAGTTTGGGACTAGATGGCGTTGTGTGAATGTGGTACAATATTATTTATTATTATTTATTATTTATTTATAATTTGCTACAATATCTAATTGATATATTACTTCTTTTACTTTTGTTATAATTTCCAATTCTAATAGAACACATTCTTTTTAAATTTATAATACGGAGATTATAGGAAAGTATAGGAGAACACACTTGCCTAAAATAATCATATACTGTAAGCCTAAACTAAGTAAATTTTGTACTAGCTGTACCCTGCCACGCTTGGCTTTTGCACATTAGTGTCGAATTGATGACAAATAAGGAACAAGTAACTGTCTGCATCTCGCAAAGGCTGATCATTAAAATTACCTATGGCAATAAGTTTAGTATTATGCCGTGTTCTTCTGTGAAGAAATATTAAATAGAAAACAACGAATAAATTAATAAGAAAACATACCACAGCGCCATCATCTGGATCGTAAAGACGTTGCAGAAGTTGTATAAGAGTAGACTTGCCGCAACCGCTGGGACCAACCAATGCCACTCGCTTGCTACTTGGCACTACTAAAGATAGTCCCTGAAGAACTTTCACTTCACGACGTGTCGGGTAGCGGAATTCTATGCTCTGGTACTCGATCTTGCCTTGAGCAACCTGTGTTGTAAAATTAAATAACCATTTAAAAACCATATGCAAAAAATTGGCTTTTTTGACCAATAAGTTTTATTGTGACGTTCCAGAGATGTTACTGACATAGTTCTTTTCCAAGTTGGGTGTGGTAGTGCTGGTGATCTTGGGTTTCCGCGCCAGTAGGGTCATGACGCGGCCCGCCGCTGATACCGCAGCACCAAAATTCGGCGCGAATGCCAGCGCCTGGCCCATCATCCACGAGCCGAAAATCAGTGCCTCCGACACTCTGCACATACGTTTTAATAAGTGATCATCTTCTTTTCTGATATTCCTTTTAACCATCATACATATTGTCCAGGATTTCAAAATTTACTTGTTTAAGTACATTGCTTTACATAGAACAAACGACTTAAGTATTCAAAACTAACTTACTTGATGACATTTTTATACGGTATTTCCTGGTTAGCGACGAGGACACCTCCATACCAGAGTGAGATCGCGTACCCGGCGACGGGAGCCGTCTGTCCGAAGGCAAACACTGAACCACGGAACCGCAAACTCTTGCGCGCTGCCACCCGGCCCCCAACGAAGGCTTCTTGGTATCGGCGCAACACTTCTTCTTCACCACCTATCATGCATTATAATAACCATTATGAATAACAATACTGACTTTAACTGACATTAACAAACGTTTTGACCAGTTGGGCCGTGATTACAGGATAGCTCAATTTTGAATTTCCAGACCAATACGTCAAGCAATTCAAAGGTTTTATGGTAACTATAGGGCAAACAAGCAGACGGGTCACCCAATGTTAAGTGACTCCCGCCGCCTATGGACACTTGCAACTAGAAAATCACAAGCGGGTTGCCGCTAATAGATGCCCCCCTCCCCAATCAGGGGGAGAATCTATCTCAGAGAACAATGAAAGAAATGGTTTACAGCGGTGTTCTGTGTGCATGGAACACCCACGAAAAAAAAAAAAAATGCGATCAATAGGAATGTATACTAATACCTATTGATAGTGATTTATCTGTTTGGTGACGGATTAAGAATATGAAATGTCACCACCCCTATTCATCCCGTGGGTATAGTAAGAGCCGACTAAGGGAGCCACTACGCAGGACAACAGCACTACAAAGAGAAGGAAAGTTGAAACAAATCCTATACCAACCCGTTTGGCCAGCGTGGTATAATAGGCCAAAACCTTCTTTCTAAGGAGAGGCATATGTCCAGCAGTGGACTATTATAGGTTGTTGTTGATGATGATGATGATCGCGTTAATTTCCGAACTAATAATTATAAATCATGGAACACGAAAGTTTAAAAGGTAGGTACGTTTTTTGTCTTTCGGTCAAGTCGAGATCTTAATATTTTTGAACTTTATTATGTTCAGCGTAGACTTCTGCTTTGGACCACCGGTAGTAGATGGTACACAGTCAGATATAGAAGACAGGACGGGACAAGGAAAAGAATGAATGTGTTTTTATGTATAATAACATATTTTATTGATTTTTACTTACAGAAAGCACAAACAGTCTTGATATTTGCAATGGCTTCCGTAGCTATCGTAGTAGCTTTGTATGAAACTTCACGGACGAGGTCAAGCCCGACGGATAGCACTCTACCTTCGAGGACCACTGCGCCTATGATCAATGGCACCGATATCAACGACATCAGAGTCATTTTCCACGTAAATAACATCGACAGCAGGATACCGATAACTATTGTGGCTGATGCTTGCATGAGCGCTCCGATCCGGGTTCCAGTAGCCTGAAAAGACAATGAGAATACTTCGTAACTGTAAATATGCATTTTTTTAGGGTAGCTCAAAAGGAAAAAAACGGAACCTTTATAGGATCACTTTGTTGTCCGTCTGTCTGTCTGTCAAGATCCTTTATCTCGGGAACGCGTGGAGGTATCGAGTTATAATTTAAACCATATACTTAGGTCTACGGTCCCCGGGCACGCCGTCATTGCGGCGGTAAGACCCGTTATGGAGGATTGGCTCGAGAGGCGTCACGGGACCCTCTCATACCGATTGACGCAGGTGATCACTGGGAAGGGATGTTTCGGAGATCACCTGTGTCTGATCCGCAAGGAGCCAACGCCTGAGTGCCACCACTGCGATGGCCAGACCGTGGACACGGCTCTCCACACGCTGGCAGAGTGCCCGGCGTGGGTTGAGCAGAGGCGAGACCTCGTGGCGGCCATCGGAGTGGGAGTTCTCTCGCTCGATAGCCTGATTGCGGCTATCGTGCGGAGCGAGAGTGCGTGGAACTCTGCCGTCTCCTTCTGCGAGCAAGTTATGCTCGCGAAGGAGACGGCGGAGCGGGACCGGGAGAGGTTTAGAACTCTCCCGGCCCGCCAGGTCCGGGCACGGGCCAGGCAACGCAGGCGACTCAGGCGCCGGAGGTCGCAGAACGACCTCCGTCCTCCATAAGCGCAGGCCTGGGGGTGACAGGTGAGGCCATCTGTCACCCTAGCAGAAGCAGGCCGGGGTGGCGGCGAGCGCGTTGCGAAGCGCGCTCGCTTCCAGGGAGCACAGGGAACATGGGGTTCCCACACGTATGTAAATAAATTAAAAAAAAAAAACTTTATTTAAAGTATGTACTCAAGAATATAAGTAATTATAGGTTTTGGAAAAACTGCGAGATTTAATTCCTGAACATATAATATGTACCTACAAATGTGTACGGACCCTCGGCGGGCGAGTTTATAAATACTCACGCCTTGGACAGCCGCTGCATCTGCCGCCAGTCGAGCAGTCAAAGCGCCTACTCCATTTCTAGGGTGGTCAAACCAACCAATTTCTTGAGCAAGCATGGCCTTGAATGCTGCGACCCTGCGTATATAAATTAGCTATATAGTGCTTTAAGGAACCATTATTAGTTTGGATAATAACATACGAGTGGTTTTAATCTCTCTCTATGACTTAATTGTGAAAACAGCTCAAGCATGAGTTTCCCATCCGTTTATTTAAAGCGTCGGCAATTTTTTTGAAAATAACATAGTTGGAGTCATCAAAACAGTTTCTGATTTCCAAATCCAGAATCAGGTATCTGGGAGTACCATACGACATAGTTAAGTTATATATATAACGAGAAATGTGGGTAGGTATTAAATAGGTCCGTGCTGTAATAAGAGCTTTATAGATAGTTCAACCACGGTACACTTATAATACAGTAGCGTAACTCGGGCGCATGATAGAAATAAATGCCTACAGCCGCGCGGTACGTAAACATGCGTTAGGGCTGTCCGTCTCCAGCATTTTAATTATATTTGCCTACTTTCTGTTTCTATTTAGATTTGTGATTGTAAATATCCTTTTAAATAAATAAATGAAATACTTTGTATATTGAATAGGAAGTGTTCAATAAAAATGCGTGTTGTTTTTTGATTGGTAGATTTAATTATTTTATTTTAGAGAGACTCGTTGAGGTTTGAGCAAAGATTTCATTTGTTGCATTTTCAGTCTGTGTACTATTTTCATTTCCTACCAACGGAGCAGTTTGGGTTTGTTTATCTTCTTTTAGAGAGACTCCTGGATCAGTACTAGCTAAGCTTGGCAGCATCAACAATGGTAGGGCATTCTTTTTTAAAAGTTTTCTATTTGATGAATGTAATACATCCTCCAAATTAAAATGTTTTTCACAAACTTAGTAGGAACTAAAGTTAGGTTTGTTTTCCAAATCATCTCGCCGGATCAGTCGTCTTCAATCAGACGTCTTCAATGGTTGCACCATTGAAGACGTCTGAAAAAAAAATACATGTGGCACTCTTTTTTATTTTTTAAAAGAAAAATATCTGCGTGGTGTCAGGCATTTTTCGTTAGGTTTTGAGAATTTCTTGATTCGGTCAGCCCGCGATAAAAGCTATGCAATAGCTTAAAAATCCTTCTATAGAATAAAAAAAATGTGCTTTCTCCTTACGCTTTACAAAACTCCAATCCTCAGAAACTCCAACACCTACCTACTCAACTAGAATGCAAGAAACAGTTGACGAGTAAGTAACTTTTTATCTCAGCTTATTAACGTCTCTAAAAATTAGGTAACTACCTACAACTCGCAATAACTCAAAACAAAAATTCTTTGGTCACCAATTAATTAATTATTAAAAAGCTGAACAGCTGACTACGAATGTTATAAAATCACAACCCTCAAACATCTAAATATTATATATGAGTCTAGCTGTTGTTCTTAATACCGAGAAAATAAAACCAGTTTTTAGTGGTATATGTTGTTATGGTAGCAGCAGAAACACTTTGTGAAAATTTCGAAAACTATCTAATGACACACAGACGGTAAAAAAAATATTCTAATATTATTCATACACAAAGATAATAAACAAATATTATTAATAATAAAATACCACGTCTTTACTTTGAATTATGCAAAGTAACAAAACACACATGCACCGAAGTTTTAACACAAGCGTAAGTAGGTAGGTACCTATTGCATCATGATTCATTCAGAACCGCATATAACTACCTATTTCACTCGTCTCAATAACTTTCCGTTACTCTATTCGCTTTATTTGTTAATCCAAACACCTTTTTTTTTCGTAAGATAAAAGGAAATACTAATCCATTAAAAAGACTCACATTATGTACCTACCTACTAGTAAGTAAAATTATTTTATAGTCTTACCTTTCAGAGTTTCCAGGTAATTTAAAAAAACGTCTGAATGCGTTATTGAATAATTCATACAACCAAAAACAGCACAATATTTCCTACTCGTCATATTAACTGATTTTTAGAAAAAAAATCGCATGGTTATTGTTAAAAAAACAACACACCGTCCGTTCGCACTGCGGTACAGCCGTGACTGTCTGCGCCCCGAGCGCACCCCGAGATCGGGGCGCGTAGGTATAGCTCGCGTTTCGTCCGTTTGTATGAAGTTGAAGTACTGTATTATAATTGTACCGTGGTTCAACTCAGTTGTGCGCGCGGCCCTATGTGTGCGTGGGCTTGTAAATATACAACTTTTATTCGTGTGGCAGTGACGCGGCAGTCGTCGTCCGAGCAAGACGAATACCACATACGGCCACGCACACATAGGGCCGCGCGCACAACTGAGTTGAACTATCTATACGAAGTTAATATATTCCGAGCATCTTGTAAATGAAGTATCTACTAAAATAAGAAGAACACGTTACCTAAGCCGAGCTGTAAGCCGAACTCCAGTCAAGTTAAATATGTATATTTGAAAGAATATTCCAACTCCGGTAATGACACCAACACCGAGGAACAATAACGCAATCACGTTTGTGCCAGCCCGAACCAAGTTTGAATCTGGATGTTCGAGTAACTAAAACACACGAAAAAGAATCCAAAGATAATAATGCTTACGGGAAAAAGCCTTGAGACAGATCAGAGATTTTAGATTATTAGAGGTTGGCATGCGTTTACAAATGTATGTCCTGAAAGGAAGAAGCCGGACGGTAAGTATCTGTTGTACTGATCATACTTTATGTCGAAGTTATTGTATAATATTGTTAATAAGTTAGTGAAGTGAATTTTGAGCATTCGAAACTCTGATCCTAAAATATAAAAGCTGATAATTACTGATGACTTTTTAATTAAACTACGTACCCCGTATGTCTCTCCAAATAATACAGCAAAGAGAGGGAAGGATGCACCGACACAAATAGCGGCAAATACTCCAGCAACCATTAGCCACTTCTCTGGCTCGCATAGTTTCAGGATCTGCCACGTAGTTGGATGAAATTCCTCTTCCTCTTTTTCCTCTTCTATGCTGGTTTCAGACTCATCGTCGGCACTAGCCGCAGACTCCACTGACTTTAGTTTCACCAATTTCTCTTGAAAATGAGATGAATAAATGATAATGATAATAACCTATGTTGTAAATAATATTAACTACCGATAAAAAATATACAATCAGGCTAAAAGATAAATTTATGATAGTATGGCGATAATATTCGAAGCCTTATTTGAGCAACGAACTTAGACTTACTCCGCGATGCTGGTTTCACATCAGTAGATGTGTTCTCAGTTTCTGTCTTTGCTTCATTTTCTCTGACGAGCTGATAGTAGCGCCCCCTCTTTTCAACGAGTTCTTTGTGTGTTCCTTCTTCCACAACCACACCTTTATCAATAAAGACGATACGGTTCGCGTTCAGTACAGTTGACAACCTACCAAAATATCATATCAACCTATCAATACTTTCTTGTAGTATTTGCAATGAAATATATATTGTTTGCTTGATATTTTATTAACTTTGATTGCTTTTAGCTTTATAACAAATTATATCATGAGATTAGTTAGTAATCTATGCCAAAATTAAAGACTTTTAAACATTATTACTTTTTTTACCGAAATCTGAAGCCACAAAAAGTTGTGTATTTAAGTACAATAACAATAATATTTATTTATTTGACCAATATATATGTTACAGTGCAGGATATTTCGATTTAAAATAGATATTAGGCAATAAACAGACAAGTTAAACTAGCGTAAAACTATAATAGTGATATTTTATTTTAAAAGTCTTGTAACCCAGGATTTTTCACATATGAAGGTATTAAGATTCCGTTCAAAACTTTAGTCGTCACCTGCCTGAACTAGGGTAAACCTGTGTCTCAGGCGATCGCTTGACATAGGAATTTTTTAAACGTATTATTAATTAAGTAAAAATGTAAAATAAACATAACAGATCAATAGAAAAGATAAAAATACTATAAAGTGTACACGTACGAAATCAAATAATAAGAATTAATATTAAACAGAAACTATTACGGTCTCATTTTACAATTTCCAATATATTTTCTGTGTATGCATAGTTAAATTTACCTAAATATTTTATATATTATGTCGATGATAGATGCATTATCATGAATCGTTTACCGATTTAACCGCTGACCTGACGTTTGTTGGTGCGAGATGTCTCATAAGTACCTGTGGCTCACCATGACGGTTGTTCGACCGGCCGCCGCTGAGTCCAGAGCTCTCTGTACTTTGGCCTCGCTTTGTGAATCCAGAGCCGACGTAGCCTCATCTAATAGCAGTAGTTTTGGCTTTCTCACCAAAGCTCTGGCTATAGCGATGCGTTGTTTTTGTCCTCCTGACAGCTGAGCTCCCCTCTCACCAATCATAGTGTCGTAAGCCTGTAGATAATTAATATCAGCAACAACTTTAATAAAATATCGTTTAATTTCTATTCCAAAATATTTGAAACAGAACCTTACGGGTCAGAAATATGGCGAACGTTGGTTTTTAGAATCTGTCTGTCTCAAGGGGACATATTGTGGGTCCACATCGCAGGACTTTTACGTGATATGATTACGAATGCAACTTCTTGGGACATTAATTAGGTAAAAATTATTTTCGATACATTAATAATAATATTTTTTTTTTTTTTTAACGGCTCTGAGCAGATACAGAAAATCATGTTTAGTCTGTCCGCTGCGGTTGATTGTGGCACACAGATATCATAGTCATGCCTATCATATATATGTAATGCCTATATACTTACATCGGGTAATCTTTTAATAAATTCGTGACAGTGAGCCTGTTTCGCCGCATCGTAAATTTCTTCGTCTGTACATTTTGGATTACTCATTCTGAAAGAAAGAAATAAAACCAATACTCTGCCGCTCCCACAAGTTTAGCAAATAGGGATAGGGGTTAAGTTTTGAAACAAAAAGGGATATCAACTGAACACTACCACTAACATAAATCTTTATTATACATTTTTTATACATAAAATAGTCTGGTTTACTCAATGAATACACATAGCCATATTCATGCTTATAAATGTATACAAAGCGATAACCTGCAATATATGACATTGCAATGTATTCTACATCCGCATCGTATTGCGTGTCAAAAATAATGTTACCTGATATTTTCTTTGATGGTACCAGCGAAGAGAACAGGTTCTTGTCCAACGACTGCGATGTGATTCCTCAGATGTCGTACATGAAGGTTTCGCAGATCGTTGCCTGATGCTAGCACACTGCCTGAAGCAGGATCATACAACCTCTGGATTAACTGCAGCACGGTGGATTTACCGCATCCACTTGGACCCACTAGCGCCACCGTTTCATTTTGAGGGATCTTAAGACTTAGACCATTTAATACCTAAAGAAGAAACGTATTAAGATCTATCACTTGGCTGCTGATTTATAGTCCATCAACGTCGTGCGCGACCGTACTGCGGGGTGAAAGACGGTGGCGGGGACGAGGTACTCAAGATGTCAGCGGGTTGCGGGGAAGGGACACACTTCTCTTCGTGGTAGCCGTGTGCTAGAATGACGCGCTACCTCGCCCCCGCCACTGCCTGTCACCCCGCGGGACGGTCGCGCGCGAGATTGCCGGATTATAGACTCTAAAGTCATAGATCAACACACAATAGCAACAATCTGTAAAATATTTAGCAAACTAAATATATAATCAAAAATCTGTTATATGCCTGTGCTGATCTACAACCGCCCATTTGCAAGGGTTGAGTCTCATGAGAAGAAAGGGCAAGTAAACTCACGGCCACTCTTTTTAAACAACGAATAACAATGGCGTCATTAAATGTACACAACATTATTTTTATATGTGCCAGTATGTACATAGATGTTAAGGACTAAAAGGTAAATAGGCAATCAAGAGAAGACAAGATATAGGAAAAAAATTGAATTAAAAAAAAAGTTAAGTAAAACATTAAAAAAAATGGAAAATTAAATAAAATACACTCCAGCCCACATTACATTTCCACTACGAAATAGCCTGTGCTAAATTAATCCCAAGCAAAGGCTTTCTGATATAGTTTACGTTTTATTGTGGATTTAAATTTGTTTATACTAAAATCTTGAATACTATTTGGGATTTTATTATAGAATCGGACACATTGACCCCGAAATGACTTGTTAATCTTTTGGAGCCTAGAGGCATAAACCGCAAACATAGGTCTCAGATGATAATTTTAGCTTGATACCTTCTAGCATTCCTGTGGAAAATTTCTAGACATACAGACTACATATATAGAAAGAAGCGAATTACGTTTATTTTATCTTTTTAAGGAAGGTAAGAAACCTTAAAGGCGAAAGCTTTTATTGCAAATAGTAATATGCTCAATTTTTCGTAAAGGTACCTGCACATCAGCTCTTGCAGGATATCTGAAATATACATCCTTAAGCTCGATGTCTCCATCCAGAGTAGGCGTTTCTCCTTCAGTAGAAAATATATCTATGACTGGTTTTCGATCTATCACGTGAAAGATAGAAGCAGCTGAGGCTCGGGCGGTTGCAATAGCTTCCATGTGAGGAGCTGTCAATCCCACATTCTGAGCTCCTTGGAGTACACTGAAGAAAATCTAAAACATATGGTCAGAAATACCGTCCAATGATTTCAATTTTATTCTATTTTATTTATTTATTGAAAAACAACAGCGATACATTTATTTTATAACTTAAAAACATACACAGATAGTATGGCTAATAACAGTTTTGCCTGGTTAACTAAAAACTATATATCCAGCTAGCAAACGAAAACATGAAAAGTTGACATAGCATAATACTTAATAGTACATAAGTCTAAAATAGAATACAACACAAAATTATTGTCCATTATTTACACTGTCCACTCAAAACGTTAGAAATTTTAGATTTAAATAGTTGTTTTGAACACGACAAGAGATCAATCTCGTTGAAAAAAATATTATAAGTACGCGTTATAATCACGTACGTTGATCTATAAGTTTTTTTTAATACTTTCTATTTGATTTAAATAAATGATATAGAAAGGGGACCAAATAGGACAACCATACTCCAGTGTACTACGTACGTCAGTAGAATATACTACCTTTTTCAAGGGTTTTATCAAAACGTAATAATGTAACTGTGTATCACTTTTCATCAATGATATTACAAAGATATATGCAGACTTACAATCATGAGTACGGCTGCAGTATACACCGGTTTTTCCTCACTTCTGCTATCGAGGATTAGTCCAACGCCATACCAGAAAGACAGTGCGTATGTAGCGTATATTATAAACCACATGATACCACTGCCAACACCTGAAAATATGCCCTTTTTTGTCCCTGTTTTCTTTGCTGGATCCAAACGAACTTCGTATCTGTAAAAGTTAAATTACATTACATAATATTTCACACATCTCACACACGGTCGTCCAAACTAGGCAGAGCTATTATTGATAAATTACAACCAGACGCACAACAAATGACCGTGCTCATCACACAATATTTGTCTTGGGTGGGAATCGAACCCACGTCCTCCGGCAAACACCAAGACCAACAGGCCCATCAAAAACTACTTTTTCAACCAGCATATGACGAACTAAGATTAACAAAATAGTCTAATACCTGTCTATTTCTTTCTTTTCTCCACCAAATGCCACCACAGTGCGTATAGAAGAGAGTACTTCTTCCGCAATAACACCGGCGATACTGTAAGCTTTCAATTCTTTTGTAGTCAGTGATGCTTGAACCTGTATACAAACGTAAGATATAGATAAAATATTTTCTTCAACATTTTAACAATATTTTTTTGTAAATTATTAAAGTTTGTATCATTCATACTTCCATACTTTTATTATAAACTAACTGATCCGCGCAACTTCGTCTCTCCAAACGAATAAGTTTTGTCCGTTTGCGCAACATTTTTTTATTTATACTCGGCTCCTATTGGTCGCAGCATAATGTTATATAGCCTATGTCCTTCCTCCATAAAAGGGCTATCCAAAACTAAAAGATTTTTTTAATTTGAACCCATAGTTCCCGATATAACTCCGAACAAACACACTTACAAATTTTACCTCTATAATATTTGTATAGATTATATTGTTTTTAAAACTAAGCAGGACAACAGCATTGCAGAGAGAAGGAAAACTTGACACAAACCCTTTACCAACCAGTCTGGCCAGCGTGGTATAGTAGGCCAAAACCTCCTTTCTCAGGAGAGGCTTATGTCCAGCAGTGGACTATTAAAGGCTGTTGATGATGATATTGTTTTTTCCGTTACGGACCCGTGATACCACCCAGTGACACCACCGGTAGTGTCAAGGGTATTTTTTAATCACACCCTGCCGGTGGTGTCATGGGGATTAATCAATCCCCATGACACCACCGGTATTGTCAAAGTTATTATTCTTTTATATAATGACACCACCGAGTAACTAACAGAAATAAAGATAGATTAAGAAATTTATTTAATTATTAAATATAATAAAAGTCAGCTGAGCCTCATTCGAAGGAAAGAAAATTATCATTTTAGATTAAATAAGTAAACTTTAACTTAATAAACTTTTATTTAAGAATTAAAAAAATATCTTTTTCTATTTTTATTTCTGTTACCTAGTTACTCGGCGGTGTCATTATGTAAAAGAATAATAACTTTGACAATACCGGTGGTGTCATGGGGATTGAATTATTATTCAATCCCCATGACACCACCGGTATTGTCAAAGTTATTTAGTTATAATACCCTTCACACTACCGATGGTATCATGGGGTTTTAAAAAATACCCTTGACACTACCGGTGGGGTCATTGGGTGGTGTCACGGGTCCGTAACGGTTTTTTCTTTCTAACAATGTGTGTTTGAAAATGTTACAGTGAACCAAGGCAACTCACGTATACAAGCGTGAGTTTGCTCGTTTCATAATTATATAGTAAGCATTTAAGTAATACAGAGTTTGCATGTTAGGGTTAATCTCCGGTGCTACTGATCCGGTTTTGAAAATTCTTCCACTTTTAGAAAGGTATATTATCCCTGAGTGCCATAGACTACTTTTAACTACGATAACCGATATACACGCGGGTGGAGCCGCGGTTAAAACTAGTAATATATAAATGCAAGAGATTTTACGAACGAAAGCTATTTCACTGCAAACGTAAAGGGCTCATCAACGCGTTCATCATGTATTTTTGTTTTTTCGGGAAACTTAGTTGTTTTCTTAAAAACTTAAAAGAAATTATGATACAATACTTAAATAGGTGTATAGAGGAATACAAACCTTAGCAACCACAGCCGTTGTCGCTATGATGATAGGTGTACACGACAAGATGACCAAGGTAAGTTTCCAACCATAAAAGATGGAGATGATGATGGCCGTGACAAACGACATCACTAAGTAGATAAAGATTGGTACCTTCTCCGCAATACCCTCGCGGTACTTCTCAATATCACTGTAAAACGAAACAATTCATATATTTGTATAGTTTTGTTCTTTCTTCACACTTAACCCAGATAAGCCTACTGTCCTATATGTCTGCAATGCACTTTTAGATATACTTCTCAATGAAATATTTATAAAATGGATAATATATTATAACCGCACCTTTTTAATTTTTATTTCAATAGCTTGTCACTACAAAACCAATAAATATATTCTGTTAATAATAATAATATGTGCGTAAGTTCAAATATTTTTTTATTTCTACCGACCTACATATGGGACAGTAGGCTTATCTGGGCTAATTTGGTATTCTCCTTCAATAAATATTGACAGCCTGCTTTTTCCCCCGACTGTCGGAGGGAAATAGTTTTCGTGATAAAAACCTTAACAGCTCAACAGTTTTACCCTTATGAAGTGTCAGTAGACTCATATTAGTTGTGGGGTGTAAGGGGGGAGGATAGTTGCCTGGGTAGTTTTTCATTCTGCAACTTGGCACTAATACCGATGTTACCAGCGTCCATAGCTAATGACTATATCAGTCCATAATAATGAATCATATAAATCTTTAATGGTAAAATTACTTACTCCGAGACTTTCGTTGCGAAATTCATGGTAGTGTTCAGGTCATACCAGGAGACATCCTGGCGAAGAACACTTCGGAGGAAAAGTTGCTTGACTCTGTCAATCTGGAATCGATTTGAAATTTTATCTATTGTGAAAAGACGAGGGTTTTTTACATATATTGAACTCGTTTTCCTAGTGGCCTACCTATAACAAGACCTACATATGGGCAAGTACGCATCTGTTTTCCTTAGTCCAATTTTCCTTTTTACTTTGTTCCGTCTAAAATCTCTTACATTCCGAAGAGTTGACGTCAGACAGACAGACGGCCACAAAAGTAACCAAACAAAACTTTACGCAAACACTACCGCCCAGACCCCGAATAAAATTAGAAAAAGAGACGGAGGAAGATGACGATGTCCACTGAAATGCGGCTAGTATGTAAACATTAGGTTCGTTAGACTTGTTTTCAAAGCATGCATTTATCAGTTTTGTAATAGATGAATAGCCATAGCTTTATATTATTAATTCTATGCAATATGAACTTTAGACTGCGCTGCGCCTTTCTGCGTTATTTTGCATTTCGAAAAGTTCTGTACCTGTTTCAGAGCCATGTAATTGAAAATGTCCACGCTGATCGCGGCGGCAATACACTGTCCAACAGAGAACACTAAACATCCTATTCCAAAAGCCTGTGAGTCCTCAATCAGCGCTATCCTGTTCTCTTCTCTCGATGCATTTGTTCTGCAACAAAAAAAGTTTATATAAATCTCAAATAGGTAAAACTCGTGTAAAATAAAAAACAAAATCAAGCTATTATCATTAAATAACATTAAAAGATTATAACTTACAGTATTCTGCCACCCCCGAACAACGATATAGTAATGGTTTCCACGGAAGTGCCTGTCATGACGGTTCGGTCGATGAGAAGGGCAGTGAACTCGCCATATATTATGACCCCCACGGGGACAAACAGGCCATTGATGCACGCGTTGAGCACAGCGAAAAGAAGCCACAGAATTTCGCATGGTGTCGCGTACCTATACTGTGAATATAGTAGCAAAAATTTGTATTACCATATACCACCATTACAACCACAATACCCACGACAACTAACTAATACCATTTGACTGCAGCATCAGAGGATTCGGATTCGGCGTATGTTTGCATTGGTCTTCGAAAGTCCTTCGACCTTTTTATTGAAATTGTAAATATTAACTTTTGCCCGCAATGATTACGATGAGGTTTTCATATTCCCCAAACCCAAACTTTATAATCGTAACTTTATAGTCGTATCAAAATATACTAAATAAGTGTGACTACGGCTAATATTTGTCAAATGCTTACCAGTTGCAACCAAGAGACGGGAGCCGCGAACTGCTTGTCCTCTTCTCGCTCACTAGAAATCAAATACTATTTATTTAACATCGTTATCGTTGATTCTTTTGAGTTCAATTGTCTACATGTATTACGAGTACGCAAGGAATGATTTTAACTTGTTTAAAAGAAAGTGAAACATTTGTTAAACACACATTAAGTGGCGTTAAATTCTGCTTTTGAGGCAATTTCAGTACCGTATCAACCGCGTCGTTATGGAATGTTGGATGGAACATTGGTTGGAACATGTGTTTGTTTGTTTGTGTAAATGATCGTTACAGACATACAACCTGTAGTACTGGTTTTCAACTACATCCAATATGTGACCCAAAAAACAGTATTTTTTAGAACAAAAATAAATTTTAAGAGAGCATCCTGCTGTCTCATTCATGTCTCATCATTATGCTAATTTCATGCGAATTGGTTTTAGCTGTAGCTTTATTTAAGGCCGTTAATAATATATGTTGAACGATACTTACGCTTCTTGTTCTAAGCCCTTCTCGGTTAGATAGGAAGTGTGTGCAAGTTGGGAGATGGTCAGGGAGTTCTGGCGCCAGCCGCCGATGGACGACGTCTGTCCAATGCTCGTTCGGCGTATTTTGGTAAGGCTTCTTACCGACTCATCGCGTTTCATTCTCGACTTAGCCCGCCTGTAAACATACGATGAACTTCTGTATTTAACGTGACAGTTCCCACATGGTCATCGTCTGGCAAGTTTACTATTTTCATCTTCAATCCAAAGAAATGAAAACCCTCGGACGTGAATTGTTCGCTTCCTTATGCTGTGTGGAAATAAAGTCGGCTTTTAAATCGGCTGTTTTTAGTTAGTAGCTAATACTTCAACCTGAATCTTTTTAATTCAAATTGCAAACCAATTTGATAAGTAAATTATTGTAATTCTTACCTCAAAATAGTAATATTCTGTAGAAAAAACTATTACCACAACCGGGCCTAGTGGTTAGTGATCCTGACTGCTAAGTCGGCGCTCGTGGGTTCGCTTCCCACCCAGGGCAAATAATTGTGTGATGAGCATGATCATTTATTCTGTGTGGGTGTAATTTATCTAAAATATGTACCTATGTATATAAAAATGATTTAAGTATGTTTATCAGCAGACTGGTTGGTCGTTACCATAGCACAGCTGATCATTTTAGATAAGAATGTAGTGTGTAAGATATGTTAGGTAAGTTTAACAAAAAAGAATAAAATCCACGTCTACTGTTGGTCTAGTCTAGTCTGTCTAGTTGTACTAATTAACAAATATTATGTACCAAACTACGCAGGACAACAGCACTGCAAAGAGAAGGAAAACTTGAAACAAACCCTATATCAACCCGTGTGGCCAGCGTGGTATCGTAGGCCAAAACCTCCTTTCTAAGGAGAGGCCTATGTCCAGCAGTGGACTGTTATAGGCTGTTGATGATGATGTACCTTAAGGTTCATAATAATTGTATCCATCAATTTCAATGAGCTCCTGCTAAAGAAAGTAGCCAATCCAAGATGTGTCTATACTAATTTTTTCATTTATACTAGAAGTGGGCGTACATAGAACATAATGTACAAAACTAATGCTTGAACGCGAATCCATGTAAAACGTCTATAATATATATATTCCTGGTTTATAGTGTTTTTTCTATATTTATATTTGTTGTGCTTTAATTTCATAAAGAGCTCAATGTATTGTATGCTTCTGTCAAAACTGACTAGAGACTATTCTTTTATCTATAGTTAATGGAGTAGAGAAATAGTTTACTACCAAAAAGTACCATAGCTGAGTGTTAAATATTTCAATGAATGACTAAGACCTGGGAGAGTAATGTTTCGGAATATGGCTCATGTGTGCTGGACCGGAATGGTACCATGGCCTCACAGAAAACCTGTGTTAACTTTCTTGCTTCTCTTGAGTGAGGTTCCTGGAGGACCAATCCACCAACATCCTCCGCCACATGATCCTGCTGGTAGGGGGTTGTTAGGAAGCTTCGACTCACTTGTCTCTTAAGTACTTAGCAGTTGTCCATGGGCGGTGATAGCTATTGATAATTGGGTGATCCGTCTGCTTGTTTGTGTCCTGTACTATTTAATTTTCATTGTGACAGAAACATCCTGCTACAATTATTTTTTTCAAAGTCTACATCCGCACTAAGGAGAAGGCCTGTGTCATCCATGAAACGAACACAAAGGACACCAAGACTTAGAACAACAACAGATATTTTAGGATCACACAAATTGTTGTCCCCTGTGGGGATCGAACCCACAACACTCAACGCAGTAGGAAGCACCGACGTGACCGCTTAAACCAGTACGCCATCCGTACAGTTTATTTAGTTTAAAAATAATCATAACTTCACACATTTCACACTCCCAAACAAGGCAGAGCCTGTACTATAGTAACCAGACTGCTAATAAACACACTTATGTATTTCTAAATACATACATTTTATAGAAAAATCCGTGTGGTGACGGATTAAGAATACAGAGTGTCACCACCCCTGTTCAACCCGTGGGTGTCGTTAGAGCTGACTAAGGTAGAAAACTACGCAGGACAACAGCACTGCAAAGAGAAGGAAAACTTGACACAACCCCTATACCAACCTAAGGGCCAAATCTAAGGGCCTATTAAAGACTGTGATGATGATGAATAAAAATTCTTGTGATACAAAATAAATAAAAACACATTTTCGAAGACTTTACACATGTTCCAACTCAACTTGTAGGTGATGCAGAGATCTCATGTCTTGTACTAGCACTTCTTGCAGTTTCACATGCGTTTATAGTTACTGCTCCACTCTTAACTTTCTACTATAACTTTCTTCAATGAAATTACTCCATCCAGTATACAATGAATTATTCAAATCTTATTTGATTTATGTGGTTAAGATGTCAATTTTATTATGTAAAAGTTATGTAACAAAACAATATTATAATACTGATGATGTCTTTAAATTATATATATATATATAAGTATATATAATTTAAAGACTTCATCAGTTCAGGTCAAATTAAGTAATATTAATAAAGATAATTAAAATTTATTGTAAAAATAGTCAATGAATGTCAATAGTATTAAAATTGGTCATTGAAATATTCGTTTATGGAATACTAGCTGACCCGCGCAACTTCGTCTGCGTCTCTCAATAGTAATAAATTTTCTCCGTTTTTGAAACATTCTTCATTGGTGCTCCGCTCCTATTGGTCTTGGCGTGATGATATATAGCCTATAGCCTTCCTCGATAAATGAGCTATCTAACACTGAAAGAATTTTTCAAATCGGGCCAGTAGTTCCTGAGATTAGCGCGTTCAAACAAACAAACAAACAAACAAACTCTTCAGCTTTATACTATTAGTATAGAATATTGTTAAAAAAGTCAAAGAGTTTACATTTAAATTCATTAATATTTGTGCTCAATACAATTTGGTTTGGCAATCTATTATACAATTTCGGTGCCATTGCATATATACTTTTGTGCGGCGAAGGAAGTTTTTGTAGGCAGTAAGTGCAATCTGACCGCTAGTTTCAGAAATAAGCGCGTTATAAGAAACAATCACAGAAAAAATACTCTTCAGTTTTATTACATAAATACTCGTATACATAAAAAATAAACTTTGCAATTAGGTAAATATATATTTTATATAATTTTTTTTTTAATACTAAACTTAATAGCAGAGCAAGCATCGATTCAGACGCATTGTATCTACCGCATTGCGGTGCTCTCGTTAAAAGCTATCCTTCCTGTTTTGTAGGCGAGGCCTACCCATGACAATAGTGATTTACTTTACACGAAGTATATAAGTTGATTCTAGACGGTACGTTATAAATGAAACTGGTTAATAGTTCAACGATGAACTTATAGAAAAAATATAGCAAAATATTGTTGAATATATGTATTATAAAGCGCTGTCTAAAACACGGAATAATATACTTTTCTTAATAAATTCGATATTCTTAAAACGCGTAGAATAATGCATCTAAATGTACAACATAGATACAAATATTTGCACGGAGTGGTAATCGAACACGTCACTTCAGACGTTCCAGTCGTAATAATAACCAGGGACTAAACCATGATAGTTTTAACCAAAGTGATACTTACTTAAAAAGGATTTAGAAGCCAATATAACGAAAAGTGAAAAACATACATCGTTATTAAAAACAAATTTATCAGAAAAAACTAGCTGTACCCAACCACGCAGGTTGTATATCGTGTCTAAATTTGAACACAATCGGTGAAGATTTTTATACATATACGAGTAGATTATCTCAAGATCTAAATGATGTCTAGGTCGGTTCTTGGGTCAGTTCATGTCCTTTTGTTAGCGGTATCCGAGATCTACAATCAACATACAGGTAATCGACCCGGATCTTTTTTGTTTTTTAAAAAGACAACTCCCGCATTAGGAATATGTATATCCTGTGTCAAGTGGGACTTTATAAACACACATGAAACGGACATAAAGAACACCCAGACTCAGAACAACAATTTGTGGATTACACAAAGTGTAGTCCCATGTGGGGATCGGACCCACAGCACTCAGCGTAGTAGTAAGCGGCGTGGCGACCGCCATCCGTGCAGTCAAATCTCATCGAAGCACTACAATTTAGTCCTGTTTACTGTCTAAGACCACTAAGCGGTTCTCCCTAGCTCTTGCGCCCTGTTCGTTTTCCTAATCTCAATTAATATATCTTCTTTCTTATCTTTCGTTATCGTGTTCTTATAACGATTACATTTTCAAGATGTGAAGTGGGACTAAAATTATAATCGGCTAAATGTGAGCGGCTTAATACGGCCCTTTCTACCCCTTCGGGGATAAGGATGTAAGAGCGGTTTCGCACTAATTGTAAGTCCGATTCGAATCCGATCCGAATCCTGAAAATATGGATCTAGAAATCTCGAACTGAATTCGGATATTGCTATTCGCACTACGTCCGGTCACCTTTTATATACATAATTTTACGCAGAGGATTCACGTCGTTGATCATGCGTCCTTTCGATCAGCGTAAACATCTAGCAATACTATTGTACGTAGGAACGACACAGAAGATGTAAAGACTTCGGTCCGTCAATAATCTTGTCCGGAATGGAGATTCACGGAAAACGGAAAGAAATCGGATGACAGAAGTCGGATCAAGTGCGTAAGCTACCATACAAATAGTTCTACGCCTGCTTCGGACCGTATTTTCATAGATTCGGATCGGATTCTGATCGAATGTATTGCGAAACCGCTCTAAGTGTATGTATGTACGTATTTATTTGACGAGGTGTTGTAATGTTGTGATATAAGGTGTACAGTTTTACCTCTGTGAACTCTTTGTACAGATAGGTACTGCTGTTCAAAACTCTTTAGCAGGCGTTTTATTTGAAGAAAGGTCACTGCCTCGATGGTGCAGTGTTAGCGTTGCGACTGCTGTGTAGAGATGTCGGGTTCAATTCCCAGGTCGAATCAAACGTTTGTATGATATGCAAATATTTGTTTCGGAGTTTGGGTATTTGTATTGATGGTATACCATATATAGTATATAAAAAAAATACCATCAGTGCGTAAACATTCTAAGTATATTCTGCAAAATCTGGTCGACTTAAGAAATACCATCAGCTTTTGGAAAAGCTAATTTTGTCCTCCTTTCTAAGAAAATTG